CTCCCCCGCGCCCCCCCGGCCCGCGGCGCCGCGGGGGCGGGGCGGGGGGAGGGGGCGCCGCCGCCGCCCGGCTCGGCCACCTGCGCCGCCGCCGCCGCCACCGCTCGCGGCCCGGCCCTGCTCCAGGTGAGGCCCGGCACCCACCACCGGTCCCGGAGTTGCCGGGCGGACCTTCCCTGCAGTTCCCTGCCCCAGGATGCCTGCTGCCTCGGGATTCAGGATCTGACTTTCCCCCTTCGGGAGCTGCCCTTCCTCTCTCCCCAGCAGTAGTATCTAGTCTCCCATTTCTCCCCTGTCCTCTGCGACCGGAATCCGGAGGCTTCTCGCGCCTCTCCGCCATCCTTTCCTGGGTACGCTCCTATTCTGGACCCAAGATCTCCCCCTCCCCCGCGCCTTCCTCGCCAGAAAGGTCTCCCGCGGTCTGGGTTTCGCCCCCTCCTCTCTGGAACTAGCGCTTTCCCACGCCATCCTAACCCCAATGGGAGGGGGAATAACCGCCACCCCAACTCTCCTTCCCCATAGCGAGCGAGGGAGTAGAATAGACTACAGTCACTATCTGGCTCTGCTCAGCTCTTCACGTTGAACTACATCTCACCTAAAGCTTTTCTGTAGTCCTCACCTCACACCACATCTCCCGGCGTTTGGGGTACGACCTCAGCACCGCCTACCTGGGCCCAGGTGGGAAGGGCCCTCTTCTTGGGCCTGGGGTTGGCCGTTGCTGCCTAGGAACGCCCCTCCCCCAGAATTAGGGAGCTGGGGGCGGGGGCGCTGCTGGAATCTTGTGATTCTGGGCTTAAGAGAATGTTGGGGGAGAGTTGGGGGACTGGGGCTTAGTCTCTAAGGGAATTGGGGTGGTGGGAAAGCCTAGGGAAGCCCAGCCTTCTCGATTTAGATGCAAAGGAGCCCCCACCTCCATGGAAATATGGGCTTTCTTCATCTCCTAGGACCACGATGGAGAAACCCATTGGGAAATTGTGTGAATTTGAGGGTCCACCTACCCATTTGAAGGGGAGAAGGTGGGGTTATGGTCCTTTTGATGTATTATGGGAGAATCTAGCCTCCCCAAAATATAGAGGGGGAGGAGGCTGTTTTGCTCGAACCTGGGGGCGAGGGGGTCAGTTGGAATGGTTACGGGGCTGAGAGCCATCTCCTTACTAGACCCTATTAACTGTATGATCCATTCAGCCAGTGAGTGAGGGCAAGGGAGGTCCTTTAATAATTACCCGGCCTCCATTGGGGAATCCCCCCCCCCCCCCCCCC